GTTAGTTGATGTTACAAGGAGCTGGGAAGAGCAGGCACCAGATGTGTGGCCTATCAGTACCAAGCCATTAATGTCACTTAACAGTTCAGTGAGTTTTCTACTGCAAGGGGAACCACCTGCGAACTTCTTTGCTTTATAATTCCTGTCCTAAAAGGGTATGGAGGCAGGCAGAAGGTTGCTGCTCTATGCTTTCCCAGACTCAGTGCCTGATAGGATTACTTCTCCCACCTTTTTAACAGTTTAACTTGCAGCTAAGTGCTCCCCTCCTTCTCTCCTCTCCCTGTGGAGGACATTCTCATTCAATTGAAAGAACAGATGTTGGCTAATGCTGTAAGATTGCTGCTCCTGTAAGATTAATGTCAGATTGTCATCAAACGGCCACCAAAAGGCCCTTTTCCTCTTTCAATACACTGGTGCTACTAGAGCAGACAGTCTTCAGTTTTCATGTCCTTGACCTTTATGCAGGACACCTGAGTAAAGCCCTGCTCCATGGGCCCATGCAAACACCCAGGTTTCCGTGACTTATTGCAGACCAAGCTCCCAGTGAAATTAATGGGATGCTTGCTACTGACTTCAGTGGTAGCTGAGTCAACTGCTTAGAAGATGAAACCTGGACAGCTCAGAGCAGTTCCTGGCTCTGCTCCACTGGAGCACTTCTGTGTGTCTAACTTAACAGTCCCCCTCCGGCCGGTGCCCCACAGCGGCTTGACTAAGCAAGGTCAAGATCCGCAGTTTCCTGGCTTGCACCACTGCCTATGTGCACCTGAAGACATCACCTCTTGCCTCCCTTGTGCTGACATGAACGTCACCAGCACCTAAAAACCTTTGTAATTAACAAAGGTGTTTGGCAGTACTCAAGTACAGCGGAGTAAAGATGTTCACGCATCTGTAGAAAGACAGTTACGCCTTGGCTGACCTACCTTTAACAGAGGCTGAATATGTGGAAATGATGCAAAGGAACAGCACGGTGAGAACAATCATGCTGGACTGCCCCGAGCTCCTGACTGCAGCATGAAGTGCGAAAGCCTCCAAGAAGGAAGAGAGCCTCCAAGAAGCGAACTGCTGACAATGGAGCAGCGCTTGCAGAGGGAGCTGCCGCACCAGCCAGTGTGTTTATCTAGATGTAGTAAGGGTCAGATTCCAAATTCCACACTCAGGTACTAAGTTCATGGAAGGACTTCCAGTTAATTATTAAGAACTAGGGTAACTGGAGGTTTTTACCCATTTTATTGATTACCTCAGCTTTCATTTTTGAATGCCCATGCAGCCACATTGCTGAGCAGTGGAGGCAGCCTCCAGACCTGGCAGAACCAGGAGCTCCCTCCACTCCTCTGCTTGAACAAAGGTGTGCTGCTGCCAGGGGCTGAATTTCTCACTATTGCTCTGCAACTTCATGTATCAACTGTATAGGCAATCACAGAAGCAGATGCTTTGTAAGGGTCTGGGAGCAGAAGTACAAGGGATTTATCAGTGCCATTAAAAAAAACAAAAAACGGAAATGATGCTCTGCTAAGGAGACTGATGTGCAATACCAGTTCCTTGGCTTTTATATTGTACAAAAGAAACTCTCTCTTTTTTAGCAGCCCCTATATTACTTCATTGCAGCAGATTAGAGGCTGAAAAGATGAAACAAGCCAGCCACTCTGTCTTCATCCTGAACAGGGCAAACCAGGCCCTTCTTTTTTCACCCATATTTTCCAGTTTCCTTCTGTTCGGTTTATCTCTCAATAAGCTCTCACCTGACTAAAGCACACGTTTCCCCATTTCCTCTGAGAGCAAATCCCAGCCCGTCCCACAGTCAGCCCTGCTGCTAGAGGGCTCATTAAGGAAACCCTTGTCCCTCGGATAACTGCGTGGCAGCGTGTTAACCCCACATGTTCCTCAGAATACTTTGCACACCAAAATCTGTGCCAGGACACTCTCTTCCCAAGCCAGTGAAGCCTGCTTCTTTCTGCATTGGGAGGGATCTGCCCCTACATGTTTAAGTAGGGGTAAGGTAGGGATAAGAAGGATAGATAGCCACCAGCCATCACCATGCTTGCTTTCTCTATTTCAGAGGTTATTTTAGCAAGAGATTTTTATTTTCTTCTCCAGCAAGCTAGGTCCTGTAAATAACTCCCTGCCACAAAATGACTTCTCCACTATAGGCTAGAGTGCTACTTGCGTTGTCATTACATTACAGCCTTAGGACTTTTGGCTGGCTGCTAGCTACAAATATCCCAACTAAAGCAGTGCTGCCCCAGGCTGTATTTAACTGCTAGCAATACCTTTTCTGTAATCAGGTCTTCACTCATAAGTGAAGGACTGCTAGTTGAGAACAGCCTGTGATAGCATAAATGCCTCCTTCATTGCCTTGTGCTGACAGAGAAGCCTGGTACAGTGGCTGCAAATGTCGTGCATTGGTGAGAAGCAGCAGAGCCACAACTGGTCCTCTCCTTCATATCCCCACACCTGGTAGAAGCCCCCTGGAAGTTCTCTGCACTGTGTGTGTGTGCATAGAGGGAAGGAGGCAGGGAGGGATTGATAGAAACAAACCTTGCTCCTGCTGCTCCCCAGTTTTTAGGTACTCTGCTTCCACAACTCAGGCTGCAAGATGCTTCTGAACTGAAGGGACTGGAGGCACAGCCTCATGTATACACAAGTGAAGATGTCTAAACAGAGCCCAGAGCACACATGGACCAGGTGGGGGTCTCCGGGAGACACTTCCAGTCTCTATGGATGCCCCAAGAGATTGATTTTCCCTGTTAATTTGAGTATATCCCTGAATCCATAAGCCAAGTCCTTCTCACAGTTTGCAGAAGGAAATGTTATCAGGCAGATATACTGCTTTCATATTGCTGTTTCCTTGTGTCTTGTTCTAAGCTCTATTTTCTGTGCACTGTTTTGCTGCATGTAAGAGTTAGGTAACCTCTGTGTGTATTCATTTCTGCACTCCAGCTGATCCTTTTGCTGCATTTGGTAAACAAGAAACTCCCCAAGCTCTCTGTTCATTTTTAGAAAAAAAATTAGAAATGACAAAATCAGTATGCAAAACAGCTCTAGCTAGAAAAAGAACAGAACTGTAGGTTCTGCTTTGGAAATGAATCTTTACACTTCACTCACTGGGAGGAGGTGATGTTGGTTGGAAATCTGGGGGAAAGTAATCCCCCTCTTACACTCCTGGGACATAGGAAATGTATGTCTTCCCTGAAATGAAGTTAAAAGAACAAAGGCCTCTCTTAGCGCCAGAATATTAGAGGCCAGATCATTTACATTGGTGTAGTTGTTTGTACACCAGCCAACTGTATGCCTGTTACAGAACTAAGTCTCTAACCATCACGTATGTGCAGAGAAACAGTGTTACGTACTTCCACATGCATGTATATTTATATCTAAAAAACTACATACGTGCATTTAAAGCACACTTGGTGCAATCTTAGAACACCTGGAAAAGGGGAGGCCTGAGCCTCTCCTCAGTTGTGCTGGGGCTAAATCAGCAGTGACTTCCTTAACATCAAATGACACCTATGAAAAGGTCCTGCACCCACCAAAGTCCACTACAGGCAGAGGTTGTGGGATCAGCCCTTTAATGGACACCTCACGCCATGCTGGCATATGTATTAGGGTCAAAGTATTACTGTTGCTGCACTTTTTCCAGAGTCCAAACAATAAAGCTCATATCTTTATATGACCTTATAAAACTAATGAGATTTCCTCACATTTTTCAGGGGTCAATAAAACATTTTTGTCTTCCCTTCACAAACGCTCATAATTTTCACCTCAACCCACGTGCACCAAAGCATCCGAGCCCATCTTTGTCTTCCAGCTAGTGCTAGGGGTTCAGTGAGCTGTGCTCCCAAGACATCCTTCTTTCTGCTCTGGGGCAGGGAGACGCACAGCCAAACCTGGTGTGGAAATCTAGATACTAATAGTAACATAATTGAGGTCTTCAATAGATGCGAGCAGAAGCAAATGCAAACCTGGTTATTTATAAAGTAATGCAGGAAATAATCACAAATGAAATCAAATATTACAGCAAATATCCAGCATGAACAGCAGCTAAAGGTCAGCGTCTTACAGTAGTGGCCCCATACAGTTCTGTGACTTTAATTTAGCCATAGCAAACCTGAAACCAGCAGCAGGACTGTAAGGCTGTGTATATCTGGATCCAGTGCAACTTGAGACAAACAGCGACGCACACGGAGAAGAGATGATGGCAGCACGCACCTCCTGTCTGCCGCACGCACCTCATTAGCCAGAGGCAAACCGCTATCGGCATACAGAATTAGGCTGCCCAAACTGCGTTTTTCTCATAACCCAAGGCTCCAGCATTACTCCTGTGCCCGGGCAGCGTTGTTCACGAAGTGATCAAGAGGGGAAGGAACACGTTCCACGCGTTTTGGCACTAAGGGCACAAGAGCCAGCTGGTGGGGGCTTTTATATATGCAGATATGGAGCTGGAAGGCGCATCTTCCCTGAGGAATGGCAGCGCTCAGAAGGACTCTGCTGCCCTCTGTGTGAACTCGCTGGTGCCAGCACAGCCATCCGAGCAAGTTCTGCCCATTTTGCTCCCTTCAATCCGCGGAGCCCACGCAGCTCCCCGAGCGGGAAGCAGCGCTTTTCCGACGGATCCTCCAGGGGCATCATAGGTCAAGGGCGGACGGCTTTAAACTCACGGAGGGAAGATTTAGACTGGATGTCGGGGGGAAGTTTTGTACTGAAAGTACGGTGAGGTGCCCAGGCTGCCCATAGAGGAGGCGGATGCCCCGTTCCTGGGGGGTTTCAGGGCCGGATTGGCGGAGCTCTGAGCAACCCGATCTGCCGTTTGGCTAACGGCCGGTAACGCTGCCTGTGGCCGGGGGGGCTGGAACTTGGCGATTCCTGAGGTCTCTTCCAACCCAAGCCGATCTACCGCTCCACCATTCACCGCCAAGCAGCGCCGGGGGCGGCGGGGCGGTGACCGCCGGCAGCACGTGACGGCCGCCCGTAGCCCGCTGGGATTTGAAGTCGCGGCGGGCGGGGAGGGGCGCGCGCGTGCGCTCGAGAGGCGGTTGTTCCTCCGAAGGCCTGGCGCGTGGGGCGGCGCGCGGGTACGTGGGGGTCTGCGCGCGCCGCGGCCGTTAGCGCTGAGGGGAGCGCGCGGGGAGCTGGCGGGCGGGGAGGAAGGGGGAGATGGCCGCCTAACGGCGGGCCTGGCGCGAGCCCCTCCGCCTCCTGCAGCGCGCGGCTGTCGCCGTCGCCTCTGGGGAGGTTCTGAGGGGGGGGTGGAGGAGCCGGGTGAGTTATGAGGTGGCTGGAGGGCGCGAATAAAGATGCGCGTGTGTTTCTGTGTGGGGGGGGACACGAGCACACGCGTGTGCGTACAGATGTGTAGCTGCGCGGGTGCGTGCCTCAGGAAGCAGCCAGGGGAGCGCAGGGCGCGGGTGCTGCGGGCGGGGCTGTGCCGCTGTGCTGGGCGGGGCTGTGCCGCTGGGCGGCTGCTCCTCTTCGGCCTCGTGCCCCGGGCATCCCCGGGTGGCGCGGCGCTGTCGGTTAGCTGAGGTCGCTGAATGCCTCTGACGGCGTGCAGCGCGGCTCTGGTGCTTTATGTGTTATTAACCTGGCTTTAAGCAAACCGCAAAAGGCGCTCCGTTTTTTATGATAGATGTTCGTTAGAATGGCTTTCGTTCTGACTGAGCTGATTGTTGATAGCTTTCTAGTGACTACTCTCTTGTATCTTACAGAACTGGTGAGATGAAAAGTTGTTTTTTGTGACATATTTATCACGCGGATGAGATACAAGTCAGTAAGCCAGCCAGGAGCTCATGTCATCAGGAACACCAACAGAAAGCACCATGCCCCCTGATGCGCCTGAGCTGGAAGCAGAGGTGAAGTCGTGTGAGAGGCAGGTAGAAAGACGGGAGGAAGGCACAGGCAAAGCAGAACGCCTTGAGCCCATGTCCAAGAGGCAAAGGAAGAAACTACTGAAGCAAAAACAGTGGGAAGAACAGAAGGATCTCCGAAGGTATGGTTCACGAAATGGTTTTCGTAGGACTGTGTGTGCTAATTTGTTGTGACATGTCAGCAGACTCTGTGCACAGTTTTAGCAAATCAAAAAACCAGTTTTTTCCCATACTAGGTTTAAAGCAGTAGTCATAGTCTGCTCCGTCCGAGAATGAAGAAGCTGTAAAGGTAAGCATTTTCTCCATGCTAGAAGTAAGTGTTCCTCAGCTTGAAGCAGATAAGAGGAGGGCTTCAAAACTGCATGTTACTGGCTTGTTAGGAGGGATGAATCTCAGGAATGGGATGTGCCTTTCCTTGTTGCTGGCAGATCTTGTAAAGCACTGAGTTCATTTTTTTTTTTTTTTTTTTTTTTTTTTTTCCTCTTTTGACACATGAAATGCTGTGCTGTTAGTTACATGGACTTACCTGTGAAAATGTTTTTGGGCAGTGGTGAGCTGTGTTCTTCTGTTGTTGGGAAGAGGCATATGTGGGCAGAAGACCTGACTCAGAATACCTTTAAGTCCGCAAAACTCTCACCATTGTCTTCATTTGAATCATCACAGATATCTATCTTTGTGTGTATATCCAGAACTTCACAAGCAGAGTTGGGGCATCGGTTTCATGGTTCTGTTGGCACAGATGCGAGCAACAGAGAGAAATTAAACTACCACTGTTATGGGCCATCCACCTTCGTCACAGAACTGTGCATTTATGTGCATGATGTGCACCTCAGCAGAACCTCTTTTCAAAGATTTATCTGTATGTTTATTTGTGTAGGCAGAAACGAAAAGAAAAACGTCAGAAGAGAAAATTAGAACGTCAGTCAAAATCAGACACCAGTAATGAAGGGAATGACAGAAAGCGTATGCGAAGGGAAGTTGTTCCCAGCACGCTTCGCCTCGTTGTGGACTGCAGCTTTGATGACTTGATGGTGCTAAAGGTAAATCAAATTGACCCCTCAAATACAATGTTGGAAGATGCTCTGGTTGCAGTGTTGATGACATATCAGAGCAGACAGTAGTGGATAGTTAGTATTTTTCAGATTGTAATGACTCCTAGAACTGCTCACATCAGTTGCAGACTTTTTCAGGGTTTAGAATGTACCTTTATGTAAGCTTGCTGAAGATTCTGATCACATTCACGGAGATGTGGGAGTTGGTTTGATTCCATGGAACAGGAATATAGAAACAGTTTGTGCAGTGTGTTCTCTATGAAACTGTATGCAATTCTGCTTCAAAGTGGTTTTGCTAGAAAGGTTGTAAATGCCACATCCAATTACTTTTTTTCTTTGAAATCAATGTGAGGCTCCCAGCAGTGTTAGAGAGGTTCCACGGAAATTAGAACTCTTAGCATTATGAGGATACTGAGCTTTTTCTCTTAGGTACACCAGAAGTGGTTTGGGCAGGACAGCACAAAATCTCTAAAATTTTAGAGTGGATTATATATTAAAAAAAAAAAAAAAAAAAAAAAAAAAGGGGAGAGATGTTCACAGGATAGGTAAATATAAGAAAGATCAGCCATGGTACCCAGCCACTGGTCAAGACACTTGATCTGCCATTTTGAGATCAGAACAGCTTTACCCCTACAAGGAACATGCAATACTTTGCAGCCTCATGTATGAGTGCAGCCCGCAGTGTTTAAGGCAGACCTCTCCCCTTGCTCTTACCCTGAGCCTTTCTACTGCTCTGACTTCACTGTCCTGCAAGACTGCATGAATTTGAGCTTCTGCAAAGTCCATCTGGCTGCTTTTTGACTGTAATGCGGAGCACGCGTGGTACTGACTGAGTGTTGTGGTGTGGCAAATTTCATTGATTCCTGAGATTAATTTTGAATGTTTAAATGTGTGCTTAAATCTCAGTGATTTTTGTTTTGTTTGTTTCCTTGAACAATGCAAATCAAGCATGTGCATAGAGGTGTTTAAATGTGGAAGATGTATGTTTCCATGTCAGCAGAATCCCTTCACAAAGGCTGTTCCTTCTGTCAGGGTCTGATGTCCGCTCTCTGTTAGCAGTCACTTTTGCCAGTTAAAAGCCTCCTTTTTCTCTCTTTAGCTTCTGGCTCATGGTAAAGCATTTTGTGGTGGTCTGTCTGAAGGACTATGTAAAAAAACAAATTGTGTTGTATACAGGATGTTAAGAAGCTTCACAAGCAAATTCAGAGATGTTATGCAGAAAATCGCAAAGCATTCCATCCTGTGCAGGTATGTTGAAACAAACTGAGTATGGCTGTGTTGTCACATACAAAGTGTGTTAAAAAGACAGTTGCAACACAGGTGGACATTGGAGAGGAAAAAAAAAAGCTTTGTTTTTTTAATAAGAAAATTACATCTATTTTAGCTAATGAATTTTCAACCCAGAAGTTATAAAAATACACATAAGAAAGTATGTGGCTGTCAGTGCAGTGCCAGATACTGGTGTGCCACTAAAGCAGTGCTGATAGTCAGTTTTGTCTATGACACATAGGTGGAAAAAAGGGACCGTGTGTATTTCTTTATGTTCCTTACTGCATGATGTGGTCTTAGCACCACTACCACTTTTAACTGGATGATAAGTGAGCATTTTAGCTAATGCTTAAGAGGGAAAAAAAAAATAAAAATTGTACAGTGGGAAACAGATTGACATTTTAACGATTTAGTGATGTGTATCTTTCATTTGTTCTTGTCAAAGTTCTACTTGACCAGCCATGGGGGACAGCTGAAGAGCAATATGAATGAAAATGACAAAGGATGGGTCAACTGGAAGGTGAATATTTGACTATTTCTATAAGAAGGGAAAAAGAAATCATTACAATTGTTAGCTAAGTTATGTATTGTGAAGGACCAGTGCTTTATCTATGGTTATTTTTTTTCTGTGACTTCAGAGCAATATCACGTTGAAGTGAGGCTCTTTGTGCTCTAAAATAGTATAACTTAAGGAGTGCTTGTATTGAATCTAGATTTTATTTTTGCTTTGAACACTCCACACACAGTCTTCACTAGTTCTTCTTGAACAGATACTGTTCTCTGATGGACTGCTTGATTTAGGCAGTTCTGACAGTCATCTGTTTTGGCAGTGCTCTTTTTGGTTTTTATTTTTAATTTTTTATTGGGAAGAGCACTGCTGGTGTGATTGAAGAGTGGTTCCACTTTGAGCAGATTTTGTGTGATCGCCAGAGGCACAGAGTAAACCTCTCCTCCCACATCCTAACAAGTGCTGTTCACTTAGTGTTTGCATCCATTCTTGCTCTTTTGGAAAGGTGGTCTTGAAATGATTGGAATCTCTGTGGGGACAGAAGGTAACACTTGAAGGGAATCGCAAGAACTTAAGGTTTTGCAGAGTTCTTTTGGCGTTTCAGAAAGTTTCTCAGCAACTGTTTTACACACCAGTGCTTTAGGGAGCAGTGGTGGGTCTGTGGATTATTCATGCAGTATGCAGTCTGTACTGTGGGACGTAATGAAACGTGAATGAGGGGTGTAAAGTGACTCTTGTTTTTGCTGGTTCAGTCTTGGGTCTGTAAAGAGTGCCCAGCAACTCAGCAGTTAAATGTAACTCTTTGAACTGTTTTAGGATATCCAAATTAGAACAGAGCACTACAGTGAGCTAATAAAGAAAGAAGACCTAGTGTACCTCACCTCAGATTCTCCAGACGTTCTTGGTGAGCTTGACGAGAGGAAGGCTTATGTGATTGGAGGACTGGTGGATCATAATCACCACAAGGTAAACTGTGGGTATGCTGCTTCTTTACAGTTCTTCTATTCACATGTTGTTTTGTGTAAATAATGCACACGTATAAACTAACAAAAATAAATAATAAGAAAACTTCTTCAACAAAGATTTCATTAAAAATTTGTTGCAGAAAAGAGAAAGTAAAGCTTGTGGTGGTATCAGTGACTTGTGTTCCAGAGTGCAGACATGCTGAGGCTTTTTAGGGTTGAATCTTTTAGTTTTAAATATAGGAACGGAATTCATAACGCTGCTCAGCTTACTGAGGGCCATATTTTCAGACAGAAGGGTTTGGTTTCTTTTCATGCACTTGTGTGTGTGCTTGTATGTGCATGCACCCAAAAATAGATGAAGAGCAGTGCTTGAATCTTGAATATCCTTTTTTTAATGAGTTTGCTTGACAGGAGAATTTAGTGAAGTAATGCAAGTGCCTGAGAGATGTGGTTCCATAGCTGCACATGGGACTGTGCTGTGTGAACCTGGAAAGTTATGGAGAATGCAGCTGGGAAATAAAAGTACTTTTTGTGTGCTTTTGTTCCCACATTGTTCCCACTCTTCTTCAAAGAAACCCCGATATCACTTCTGGTGATGTGTTGAGGCTTAAGATACATTCCTTTTTTTTTTTTTTTTTTCTTAGTATCACCAATGATACTAAAGCAGTTAGTCTACACTTAAAGGCTAGTAGGAAACTAAAGCGAATCCCTTATGGTCATTGTAATACAAGTGGTTACTCACTTATATGGGAGCTGTTGATCACAGCCTGAACCTCTGATTCATCACCTGAGGTGAGCAGTGAGTCAGCTGTGAGAGCACAGGTGAAAGCAATTCACCTGTGCTACCAGGAAGGGGTGGAGCCTGGCTCCACCTCTCTTAGACCCCATTTAAGGACTGACTGCCACTGAGGAAGGCTTTCTCTCTGGGGATGGCTCCTTGTGGAGTTTACTGCAAGCCTACAACACTGGTGAGTGTTTTCATTTATTTTGATTATCTTTCCAAGGTGATAATTTTACTGAGCCTAGCCTAGAATGGCTTGCAGGGTATCGGCTTCCTTCTCCAATCCCAAGTGAAGGGCTGACACACAGCCAGTATCTGACAGTGCAATTTCTGGTATCTGGCTTTCCTTAAGGGGCTTAAATGAAGACTCGTCTGACTGCTCTGTATTGCTGATCTCCTCTGTGATTCCCTTGTGTCAGCACCACTGATGCTGATGGGCGCTTAGCTTGGTTTGCACTAGAGCCTGAATCCTCTTCAGGGCTGACGGCAGCACCGCTGTGATATTTAGGGCTCTTTGAGATCAGAGGGAGAGAAACACAAGCAGGGACACTGCTTTCATCTTGAGAACCTTTAATTTCTAGTTTTGCACTGTCATCTTCAACAACAGTGCTGGGCTGAGTTGTCCTTATTGCTGGGGCTGAAAGGTCCTGTGAGAAATCTAACCTCTTGCGGGTCTGATGTGTAGAGAGGGCGTCATTGGCCCTGCTGGCTTTACTGATTTTACATCTTACCAAGGCTAACCTCTGTATACTTATTGACTGTGCAAGTGTACATGCTTTCCAGAACTTGTTTGTTTCTCAGGTACTGAATTTCCTTTTTTTTTTTTTTTTTTTTTTTTAATTCCCCTGTTTTTTTTCCTTTAAAAAAAAAAAAAAAAAAAACAACAAAAAAAAAACTGGTTACCTTAAACTGAGTAACTTTGTGCTTCAGCCCAGGCTTGCCCTTAAGCAGGCTGTGCCCGGCATGTTCTAGACCTGTATGACCAGGTCTTGTTTGCCATCCTTCTGACCGTACGTCATAGAGTGACATGTATTTGAGGTGTCATGTTTTCCAGAGGTAACTCTTGAAGCAGATACTGTCCTATCTGGATAGTTTTCTGTTTTTAAATATCTTCCTCAGCAATAGTGAGGCAGTACCGATGAGACTCTGGACAGAAAATGATGCTTGTAATCTTATCTGTATGCGCTGATATGGAATTGTGGTACTCAGTCCAGTTGTTCTTATGCCTTTCCTCCAGGGAATTACTTACAAAAAAGCTGTGGAGCAAGGAATCGGTCACGCACAGCTCCCTCTGGGAAGCTTCGTGAAGATGAACAGTCGGAAAGTGTTAGCAGTCAATCATGGTGAGTTCTAAAATACTGAGTGACGATGCTATCACACAATGTACCTGCAGAATTCTGAGTTTGAAACTTCGGATAGTGAAAGCATCCAGTTTTTAGTGAGCTGGTATTTCTTGAATCTAATTGCCTTTGGGATGCAGTAGTCATAACCTCTAAGTATTTTAGATATGGGGAAATACAAAAGTAGCTAAGGAAGTGCCTTATCCACTGAGAACTGCACCTTCTGTTCTCTTAACTTGTCCCGTGATTCATTTTGGCATTGCTATCACCCCAGCCTTACTTCTAGACTTAGTGGATAAGTGAACAAAACACTGAAAAACCATTCTGTGTATTTTATTCCACTGGAGATTAAGAATGTGATGTTTTTTCGTGTCTTCTGACAGCTTTGTTCAGCTGTAACTGCTTAGGTACCTGTATGCTGACCTAGTTTGATTAAGCAGTTCTCCATCTGCAGAGCTTTCATAACTGCATTTTTACCTAGCTTCCTGGTTTTGGTTGAAGTATACATTATGCTTGATGAAGTCTTGACGCCTTCTAGTCCTCCTGTTCTGTGATTATTTTCCAGTGTCCAGAAAACAGGGGCTGCACAGACCATTGTGGGAGTTTTTTAACATGGCATTTGAGTTTTCATTTTGCCTCACTTCATGTTCATTTATTTTATTTGTCTTGCCTTGTGTAAGTTTGTTATGTTATTAATGTGTTGCACGATAACTTTAATTTCATGAGAGGCCAGTGATTGATGAGATGCACGTTTGCATGATAATAAAGAATATTTAAACATAAAGGAAATAGTTTCTAAAACTTAATCTTTACATGTTCTTTATGTAGGCACTAGCAAATCTTTGTGCTACTTACTAGAAGTTCTGCTGTCTGTAAAGTTTTATTGGAGAATTTTTCTGCAGTAGTCTTATACTGACCTCTAGTGTCAGCATTTTTGGAGGCTGCCTTATGGGGAGAAAAAGAGATCACTTATTTGGGCGCTTGTTTATTTCTTTTATGATATTGTGCATGTTTCTTGTGCTAGACTTCTAGGCACCTGATTTTACTGCAGTTTAGTTGCTGGGATTTCATATTGTGTGGGATTACATTCCCTAAAATATACTCTTCTAAAATATTTTCAGATCAGAGCTGAAAAGCATAACACACAGACCATTTGTGAGGTTCTGCTATTTCGCTTAAGGATTTCAGGCAAGAATAATTCCACCACTGCCAAAAGTGGAGGGATATTGTGGTTGTAATCATAGCTCTGGTCCATATTGTAACCCTAATAACACAAACTAAATTAAAAAAGACAGTTGTCAAGGGAAATGCTACTAGATATGAAGAAGATGAACAGAATCAAGCTGTCTCTCAAGTTTCGTATAAATTTTGTGCAAGAGAGAAGCTTATTTGCGCTGAGATTTTTTTGTTGTCCTGAGGACGCATCTTGTTGCTTTTGTGATTGCTCCCCACTTCTGTTTTGGTTGACATCTGGGTGCCTGCTCTCGGTGCAGGGATTGAAGCTAGAAGACCAGAGCATGGGATAGACGAGACTGTGGGACCTGCCTGGTCCCTATGGAACTGCTTTTAATAGTGGTGAATTTGAAAAATCTCAAAGAAACTCTTTATTAACTGCCTTGTCAGTCTTTGAAGCACTTAAATTGAACGGGGCCCTCTGGTGGTGAGAAATCGCTAGTGTTGTTAACGGTGGAGTCCATATGCTGCTTTTCATTTATTTGCTTATTTATAGCTTTCATTGGGATGGTGTGTCTGTATACTTCTACAATGGCTCAGAGTCTGCGTGTTATGATGGCATGAGGAACACAAATATCCATTTAAGTTTTTATGCCAAGGCAAATTCATTTTGCTGTATGTTACAGTACCATGTTACGTTCCAGTCTGCAGTGATGTCTATTAACTGCTCCCATCGTCTTCTCACATCCTTGCTGAATGCTTTTGTTGCTATTGCAGCATATCATTGAAGCCTCTCTCTTTCCATCAGTTCTAATTTTACTGTATCAAGTTCCAAAGCAAGGGTGTTCCTTGTATTCTTTTTTTTTCTTGAGCAGCCACTTTTGCCACAGATGTTCTCTGGAGTAACTTAAAGTGGTCTTAATGCAGTGCTATGACCTTTGAGAGTTCATGCTTCCGCCATGCTTCCAAGGTGAATAACCTGCTTGGTAAAATGGCCATCTATGTCAGCGTCACACTGTCCTGTAATCTGGGCATCCTGGCAGGCTGTCCAGGAAACCTGGATCTAGGAAACCTCCAGTAAATGTGATACTTTTCTGTATCTTGACTCTCAGCATGAGATCTGTGCAGCTCCTCAGAGCTCCTCTGATCCTTTCTCATATGGAACATTTGCACTGGGTGTGGTGTTGTTTTTTTTTTTTTTTTGAAGTCTCCATTCTCAAATGGTGTTAGCACTATTTCTGTAGTGCTTGAGCTTCTGCAGTGCTTCTCGTGCTTGAGGAGCCACCCCTGCACTCCAGATTTGTTAGCTATGCTTGGTTAACCTACGAGCCATCGGGCCGCCTCCTGCCTTCCCTGCTGCTGCAGGGCTGCAGTTTATGCTAAGAGTTTTTTTGGGAGGGGCAGCCTGGGATTTTTCTAAATAAGAATTTGCTGATTGCATTACATAGTTTGCATATAATGCACTTTGGAGCTATTGTCAACCAGGGAAAATTTTAGGAGGTGAAATAGGAAGGAGTTGGGTAACAGTATGGTTAATATAATAGCAACAGCAAGAAGTTTGTATTATTAATGGTTGCTGAAAGGGGGAGTAATGAGAGTTTTTGCTTTAAGCTCAGATTTCATCAGTTAGAAGTGGAAGAGAAAGATAATGAGGTTATAGTAGGTTTTAGGAAGACTTGGGACTCTTTGTGTTATAATTTGGGAGGGAAGCGACATCATTGTTAAAGTGCATCCCCAGGAGTACTCCTTTCTAACATGGGAGAGTGTTAATGCCAGTATAGAAGGCACCTGTGAGACCTGAAGGACTGGGGGGACATTCTTCTGTCCCTGAGAGAAGTCAATTCGAAGTGGAGCAACTACAGAAAAGTGTTGCTGTAGTAACCGAGAGACTATAGAGACTAGAGACTGAAAGTGCTTTGCTTTAAACTGCAACAGTGTCAGATTGCCACTTCTGCTTCTTCCTTCACTTCCTCGGCTCTACCCAAATGCATGTAAATGTCTGTAAAAATGGATTTGGAGCTGTGTCCCTATCAGTGCTTCAGTTTCTTTCTTGTAAAAGAGCTGATAGTGTTTCTTGACGTTGCAGTGTTTGAAATCATCCTTGCGTACCTGGAGAAGAGAGACTGGAAGGAGGCCTTTTTCAGTGTCTTGCCACAGCGGAAGGGGGCAGTTCCATTGGGAGAAGCCAGTGATTCATCCCAACGTGCCCTATGTGAGAAAGAAGGTGAAGACAAGGACTCAGACAGCAATTAACCTGCAGAATAAGAAGATGGGAAAGATGAGACATGGAGTTTGTGGGATAACACTGAGACACGAAGCAGTTAAGCTCTGAAGATCATCTGCTGCCCTTGTGATACTTGATTGTCTCAATGCTTGGTAGCTTCAGAGTTGGGTCAAAGTTGTTCTTGGACAGAAAGGGTAAAAACAAATGCAGTTTTTATCCTGAAACTTCTATATTAATAGCTTTAAAAAATAAATGAATAGCAAATGCAGAATTTATTTTGTTTACCAAGGAAGCTATGTTATTTATGTGGTTTTTGTTTTTTTAATAATTGTTCGGATATATTACCCAAAATACTGAATCACTGTTTTAATGTGTGCATTCATCTCTGTTTCAGTTCTAAGCAATGAATTACAAATAATCCTGTGACCTCAAAACCTGTATCACTAGTGCCTGTTGCAAGGCATTCATTTAAAAACAGAAATAACTCTGATTTTCCTGAGCATCTCAACAGACAGTCACAAGCAACTGGGCTGCCTTTATCAGCTGAGCCACTCCCATTTTTCCCCCTGATTTTTAGTTAGTTGTGGTCAGAGGAGGAAATACAAGTGTGGGGTCAAGCCATTGCTTAATGCTTCAGTTTGAGTAAATGTGTGTCTGTGTACATGCAAAGCATGTGCCTTGGCTGGGGTGTGATATGTTTGTTGGTACGTGTGCAGTGAGTTCAGGTGGCAGTACATCTGGGTTTTTTTGGTTGGTTGTTTTGTTTTTTTTCCCCATTCTATTAACTGTGTTGTCTGTCAAGTGCTTTGCTTTTTTTTTTCCCTTTTAAAGCCATAGTTTCTGTCTTGAAGCTGCCAATCAGTTTGTGCTTTTTCCAAGTTCAGAAATGGACACTTCAGAGGTGTGGCTTTGCTTCTCACCTGTGAGAATGTGCCCCATTCCCTAGCTTTGTAGGGGCTGTCCAAGTAGCTGCTGGGGCATTTTGGAATGTGAAAAAGTATGGCTCTCACACTGATTGCTGAAGAGCTAAAACCCACCTTACTGTGACTGCTCGTCTCTGCTGACCTGGAATCAGAGGAGATGGAAATGTGACTTTGTATCTGTATTCTTTCCTCTGTTACTGCTTTTTAATTGACAATGGAAGTGGGATTCCTGCAGTCTTTGTGGTCCCAAAAGGGTTGGCAGCAAACTGGTCATTAGTTCCTAAACCTCTCCCTATATTTCTAAAATATCCGCAGAAAAAGTTTCTTCTTTCGAAATAGCTTTTTTTTTCCTCAAGTAGTTCTTGGTTTAGTTTTGTTAGACTACATAAAAACATTCTTTTGTTCCAGCAAGATTAGCTTCTTCATAAAAGCACTGCTGGTATTGTGTCTAACAAGAGCAGTGTAAGTATGCCCACTATTTATTGCACTGAGTTTTGACAAAAATTTGTATAACAGTTAAATTGCAAGGAGGTACATCTTTACAGCTGAGGCACTGCATGTGAGTGTACATAGCACCCATCAAACCTGCTGTAAGATGCTTCAGTCTCTTGAAGGTTTTTTTTAATCACAGAACGGCCAGGGTTGGAAGGGACCTCAAGGATCATGAACCTCCAACTCCCCTGCCACATGCAGGGCTGCCAACCTCCCCATTCAATACTAGACCAGGCTGCCCAGGGCCCCATCCAATCTGGCCTTGAACACCTCCAGGGATGGGGCATCCATAACCTCCCTGGGCAGCCTGTGCCAGCACCTCACCACTCACTCAGTAAGGAATTTCCCCGACATCCAACCTAAATCTTCCCTCCCTCAACTTAAAACCATTTCCCCTTGTGCAGGTATCAACCCTTTAAAAGAGTTGATTCCCCTCCTCTTTGTAGGCTCCCTTTAGGCACTGAAATGGTGCAACGAGGTCACCCTGCAGCCTTTTCTCCAGGCTGAACAAGCCCAGCTCCCTCAGCCTCTCTTTGTACGGGAGGTGCTGCAGGCCCCCGATAATCTTCGTGGCTCTCTTCTGGACTCTCTCCAACAGCTGTTCTTTTTGTACTGGGGGCTCCACGCTTGGACTCAGTATTCCAGATACTGGGGAGGTCTCACGAGAGTAGAATAGAGAGGGACAATCACCTCCCTATCCCTGCTGGCCACCCCTCTTTTGATGGGGCTCAGGATACCATTTGCCTTCCGAGCCACAAGGGCACGCTGCTGGTTCATGCACACTGTGGGCTCATAGATTTTAAGACTTACATGTGTGCCTCATTTAGGAGATAAGCTGGGGACTTTAGAGACACTTGAACAGGTCCAGTGGCACTTTATGAAATTATTCTGGTGACAAAGCATTTTAGTTTCATGAAGGAATTGTATTACAGCCTAAAAGACAGCCTGTCTTGCATATGCAGCAGTGAAATCAAAAATGCACATTTTTAAATCAAGCTGTTGCGAGTCTGGAGCTTTCCTACCTGTGGATAAATCCAGACCATATTCCTGTCCTAGCTTTAATCTACAGGATGTATGAATGACTGCAAGATTTGAGTGATGCCTACCTGCAGTGTTTCCAACAGATTTGGAGTAAGTACCTGCAACTTAGAGGTCCAGTATCCCACTTAATTCAACAGACAGTAGTTGCCTGTGGTACTGACAAGCAAAGAAAGCACGTAGCCAGACTGGTTGACACAAAGCAGGTGAAAGTTGTGAGCTTGTGAGAGACCTGGGCAATGATTGCCAGCAAGTTCTAAAGTCAGTGGGATTTATGTGGTCTTACAAAACAAAGAAGTGCTGTCTGGAAGTGTCTCTTGGCTCCTGGTTCTTGTTTTCTAACACATTTAACTTCAAATTAGGAAAAGTCTAGCATGTTGCTTTTGTAAAACTTTGAGTGTTATACTCGAGAGTAATATCATAGTAGTGATATTATGACCAATTGCTGGGTGTTCATTCATGTTGTCTAAATCACTTTGGTCTTTGTGTCCTTTCTAGTGCCTTTGCCACTAATTTCTGTTGCTGTTGTTTACTTTTTCTCTGATCATGCTAACCTCACTGGTCATACTATGCTGAAGTCTGTGCATCTTGTCATGCACTGTCTACAAGATGCTGTCCTCAGGTTGTGTTAACTGCTAGTTAACTGTAGATGGAGCAGTAAGGACTTGTACTTCTTGTGAGGTAATGAACTGGGCGAGATTTTCTTCCTGAGCTTGGACAAAATTATCAACAAAATGATTGCAGCACAAAAGTGGGGAGACCTGTAGCTCCTGCTATGATGCATCCGCTCAACAGACAGACCAGGAATGTCGTCCTCCTGTCTCTAGTATCTTTTTGCTTTGTGGAAGTGCGGAAAGATAGGATGGCCATTTGTTGACATCCCTGGGAGAAGCATCCTGAGTAGCGTTGGCCTTGTCCTGTATTTCACTCAGATGTGTACGTTGTCCTTCTTATATTTTCCAGTTTCCCTGGACGTTTGACTGCCCCTGTGAAAAAGAGCACGGGCTTCCCAAGTAGTACATCTTACTACCTTGTCGCTCTGCAGTGGTGGGCGGGGAACAATCAAGTGATTAAAAAAAATCAAGGGATTTGTGAGAAATGGTAGGACTTTGAGCGTGGCTTCCAAGCTGTTTGACTTGCATCCTGCAATATGGCATGGCGTGCTGACAGTTTGACAGTTGTGTTGCAGGCATGACAGCAAAATTACTCACGGGAAGGCTGGGCGTATCGCTTAGAGAAAGCTGCCTCACAGCAGCAACAATTCCAGCTGTTAAAAATGAGAGATGGCAACTGCTAGTCCAGGTCCAAGTAAATCCCCAGTAAAGGACAGGTATGAGATCTGAACTGAAGGCGGTGAATGATGAGTGCCGTCAGTTATTTGTTCAGTGAGTAAGTTGCATAATAAAGATGCTCAAATGTGTTAGAATAATAAGGCTTTTTTTTTTTTTTTTTTCAGAACTGCTTATTGAAATAGTTTTCAACAACTGCATAGTTTTTTTTTCCTGAAAACTGAAAATTTGTCCATATTTAGTTATTCCAGTGAAGCATGTAACTTTTCTGTTTGAGCTGCACACTGCAGAGATACATTGAGTGGGGCCAATCTGCAGTGACAGTGTAACCTCTCTGAAGAGGAATGGAAATAAATACTTTCAGGGGAGATTGGTTTGCAACCCAAGTAGTTCATGAAGCATTTAGAAATGTTTGACATTGATGCATGACTGTTTGAACTAGCATACTGATTCTTCTCAGTAACAGAGGATGGTTCCAAAAGGCTGTGGGCTCCCAGCTGTTGGTGGGAAGAACAAATGATAGTTCTGAAGATGAGGCATCTAATTTTATTACAGGACAAAGAAATGCAGCTGTCTCACCAGAATAGTCTTTCAGATATCTCTGTCCTTGCTGTGCTTTGGTGTTTGTAAGAATCTGTTTCAGCTCTTCCTGTTAGAGAATCTACATTATCAATAGAGCAAGCAGGTAGGACCAGGGAAGGAGGACAGGTGCACAGCATGACTGGGTAACACTTGTATTAGGCTGTAGCCTGTTGATCTGGTGTGACTTTTGCCATTCTTTAGCCTCTAAACATAAATAACTTTTATTCTAGGCTTAAGATTCATGCATTGAAACTTGTTTGTCCTTTACGCTTGCAGCCCAGGTGGCCAACCATAGCCTGGGTTGTATCAATAGAAACATGGCCAGCAGGTTAAGAGAGGTGATTCTGCCTCTCTACTCTGCTCTTGTAAGACCTCACCTGGAGTACTGCATCCAGTTCTGGGGCTCCCAATATGAGGAGGATGTGGAGCAGATCTGGAGGAGGGCTGTGAAGATGATCAGAGGGCTGGAGGACCTGCCCTGTGAGGACAGGCTTATAGAGCTGGGGCTCTTCAGCCTGAAGAAGAGAAGGCTCTGGGGGGAGCTTATTGTGGCCTTTGAGTACCTGAAGGGGGCCTACAGGAAATCTGGGGAGGGACTTTTCATAAGGGCATGTAGTGACAGGAAGAGAAGAAATGGCTTTAAACTTGGAGAGGGTAGATTTAGACTAGATATTAGGAAGAAATTCTGTACTGTGAGGGTGGTGAGATGTTGGAACAGGTTGCCCAGTGAGGTTGTGGATTCCCCCTCCCTGGAGAGGTGTTCAAGGCCAGGCTGGATGGGGCTTTGAGCACCCTGGTCTAGTGGGATGTGTCTCTGCCTGTAGCAGGGGGGTTGGAACTAGATGATCTTCAAGATCCCTTCCAAGCAAGTCATTCTATGATTTTCCTAGATGGGTGAAGCACCTTTGAGGGAGATTTGTCTTGGACATCTAGCAAAAGCAGTAGCCTGTGGCTTTGAAGGGAAGTAACTTTGAAGATGCGGCTGATTAAAACTAACCTTGCAAACTATCTCACCTAATGGCTCTGACGTGTTTGCTCGGTAGCCTGCCAGCTTCACAGAGGGAACGTAACTATGCTTTTGAAGCTGTACTAACCTTCCTTTCATTCTGATTCTATTCAGTAACGAGTCTCCAAGGTCTCTGAGATTTAATTAAGCTTTTCAGGCTCAACTAACACAGCGTGATGCTGAGAGACAGCTGATAAGAAATGCTTAGGGCAGAGATTTATATAGAATTAAGGCAATGTGAATATGGCCCAGAAGTACACGCACAGATATTGTTACTGTTCACTCGATGTATGGTCTCTCAGCCCTGCTGTTCAGTTTTGCTGCTATTTGGTTTCCACCTCTTCTGTAGTGTTATTACCCGAGACACAAGGGAAACTTCAAAGCGCCGTAGAAGGGAAGGGGTTCATCTTGTACAATATAATGCTTGTCAACTCCTCCCATTTGAAGATCTGCTCCCATCTACAGGCTAATACAGTTGGACAGCTGTAGGGAAATGACATATGCCTAACATATCCCAGAAACTGATACCCATTTAAATTGTTTAAGTTTCTGCATCTGTGGTATGAGCTGGCAAGTGCACCTGAGCAATGACTGCTCTGTGCAAGTGGCTTTTCACTGGCTGCTCACAGAGCTGGGACTGTCACCCAGGTCACAGTGTGCTCCTGTCCTGCAGAGAGAAGTGGGAGTGGAGGAGGTGGCTGTTATGGTAGGAATGATTGGACATGATGACAGGGGCTGTTAGAAGAGTAAGCTAAGCTCTGCTCAGAGCTAAGCTCCTTTTTCCATAACATTGTGCTAACAGAATTTCTCTCTTTCTCTCCTTTCCCAACAAAGAGGCAGTTGTTTTGAAAGAACCTACTTTCACTGAATTTCTTTTTCCCTAATAAATCAGTAGAACTGTGGCTTATTTATCGGCATGCTTTGGTTTTGTGAGAATGAATTGACAGGGACGTGTTCAGATAAAATCTAATTCTTCTGCTTTCACAGTTCACTTGACCTAAGAAAGGTCCAGGTATTTTTCTGTCATTGTTGGCCTACATTTCAGTGGCTTGAGGTTTGCATGGCAGTTTTCATGTTTAGTTTGCCCCATGTGCTGCAGATGCTAAAATCAATCTGTGATGCTGCTCTGTTGATAATGGGAGATATGGAAGTACACAATGGTTTGCTGTGAGGTAGACATCTGAAGTCACTGCAGCCAGAACCCAGGGTCTTTTTTTTTTTTTTAAGTGGTGACCCTCTCCTTGTCTCATTATGCCTGTGACTGTCGAGAGTTATGAGAGAGTTAGAATAACAAGAGTTATTAGCGTGGGCCTAGGTGGATCATGCAAAAACACAAATCTGATGCTGAAAAGCATCGCTTCTGCCTGTTTCCATTTAGCTTACTTCACGTGTACCTATGCAGAGAGCCAAATGTAATGAGCAGAAAATAATTTTAAAAGGGAATCTGAACAGATTTCTTTACATTTGTTCTAATTTTATATCTGTAAGTGCTAAGAGTATGCATTTCTGTATGTGAAAATGACTTGCAGCTGCTTTAATGGCTATGAAGATATGGGCCTCCCTTGGGTGGGGGCTGTCTGTTGTTTTGCTTGCTGCAAGGCAGCATTCAAGGGCACATCTCTTTGTTTCCATTGCCAGCCATGACTCTTCTCTGGGGATGATGTGTCTGCATGTGCTGGACCTCTGTTTCTCAGCCTTGAGAACAAAATACGGTCTTCATCCATTTCTGGAAAAGATTTTGAAAAATAAAGCAGTATGTTACCAGGCTAGGCTTAGAATTTTTGGTAGACGCTTGAGAAAGAACGTCTCTTCTGCATCCCCAACAGCACTTTGAAGGACAAATTGATACCTCAAAAGTTTTTTCTTTCGTGCTTGTTCTTATAAAAGGTCATGCTTCCCTACTCCTTCAGTGAGGTTAGTAACAGCAGTAAATGCATTGGAGCTGCTGTGAATGGCTTTGTTAAAATGATCAGGCATTCAGGTACTGACTTTTGTTGTCTCTGTGTTTCAGAAGGGATACAAAGAGGCACTGGTGGGTTCTGTGGGGAGTTCCAGTAATTTTGTTTCCCTTGGCTGGCTAGAGGCTCAAAAGGGGGCTTTGGTAGCTGAAAAAATCTCAAAGGATTTTAGCTGCAAAGAGCCAGGGAGATACATTACATGATGGCAAATTCCAAAGTTTGTTAGCAGCAGGAGTTTGAGCCTATGTGAAACTCCTAAAAGGAGATTTTAGTGGAGGAAGAGATCCTGCTGCTATGATTTTTCCAACGACACGCAGATGCTGTTATACGCATCCCTTATCTTCCTGCATTTATGAGGTGCACTGGGTAAGATTTTCATGAATGTCATATCAAGAGAAACCAGTTGAGTGGCCTCAAGAGTCTTGGCTATCTAGCTTAGGGAACTTCTGTTTTTAAGTTTAATTTCTCATATTGTCACTGAACTTGGGCCCTTCTGTGGTGACAAAAGGGAAGGCTGCTCTACTTCACAGTCCCTTTTCTGTAGCATGCTAGGCACATGGCATCTTAACATTTATAATTTCCAGTACTTACCATGCTTTATGTTTTGACTTGCTTCTGATCTGTTAGTTGAAGGCCTGAATGAAAAAGGAATAAAAGTCAAACAGTATAAACTGTTCTCTGCAGCATACAGGAGGCTTGCCTTTTCTGTTTGTTTTTGCTGTTTTTTTTGTTTGTTTGTTTGTTTGTTTGAAAGAGCTCTGAAGTGCTCAGAAAGCTCTGTCCTGTTCCCATAATAACTAAAGTTGTATCAGAGTGTGTGAGCAGTTTTATAGTTAGAAGTGTTTCTCATTCAAGATGTGTGATGCACTTCAGTCAGAAAGTTGCATTTTTCACAAAATCCAGAGGCAAAGAAAACAACACTTTCTGGTTAGGTTTAGCCTATCTCCTCAGCCTAGCAGCCTCACCACAGATTTTACCTGTTATTTATATCTCCTTCTGGACCTCTCTGAGGAGACTGAGGCTTTAGCAAACTCTGGATATTCATGCTCTCTCCTGCACCTTCCTGCATTGCCTGTGGCTGGTTATTCAGCCTGCCTTTACCAGTCAGTTCAGAGCAAATCAGTCTGGACACGAAGACTTTCTCTGAAATTGGAAAACAGCAGATTTTATTTACATTATTGCTTGCTGATTTGAATGTTTGGAGGTGAATTTGGGAGTTCCTTTACTTGGATTTCTTGAGGGGCTTAAGGACATGAGAAATAACACTTGTTTTCTGCCTTCATGCAGCCCAGAGTGCTACTGAGAGTGTGAGGTTTTCCTGCCCTGCAGCAGACCTGAGTCTGCTGAGATCTGGGTGACTGCTTTCTGTTCAGAACGGCCACATCTGGGCACACCTCAGTGAGTCCTTCCAACTCAGCAGTCTTACACAGTTCAGGCCTGTGAGAATTTCTTGGGTTTATACAAATATGTCAGAGATTTGTTCCTTTCAGAAATGAACGCACATGCTTGTTACCTTTTAGACTCGCCTTTGAGAGCCATTCTTGGATCTCTGTAAGTGAATCTGTCTGGAAAACGTTTCTCAGTTTTTCGAGCACCTGGAAGATGTATGAGATAGTTACTATCGCTCTGGTGCGTGTGTTGGTTTAGCTCTAGTAGCCTGAGCATGCAGAATTTTACAGCTACGCAAACTGTCTTGCAGAGTGATAGCTAACTACAAATTTAAGTCAGTAGAATCCACAGTGGGAAAAATAAAGTCTGTCAAATAATGTCTCATGCTATCCTCGAGAAATAAAAATGTGTCACATCATTGGAAGCCATGTGCTGCAGCAGTCACATCTTACCTTTATTTCCCAGTGCAGGTAGCTTAGGTCAAAATCTGTGTTCTGCTGGGCGTGAGGACTGTGACTTGAGTTGAGGCATGCAGAAGAAGGCTGGGAGAGAGTCCGGAGGACTCCCTGGGCAGTTGCTGGTTGTGCAGAGGTTTGGGGTCGTTTTTTCAAAAGCTTTTCCAAAATAGAAAACAATCTGTAAGGAAATGCCTGGACTCCATTTCAGAGCAATTAAAGGCAACGTGAAATATGTCTAACAGGGATCCCCAGAAAGGATGATCAGCAGTAAATACATGTAAAACTGTTATTTGGCTGAAAATGGCCAGAAATAGGAAATGCATAGGTTAATGATTACAGGCTCTAACACACAGTCACCAGGAATAATGTCAGATATGCACAGCATAATGTTGGATTTTTTTCCCCTTACTGCTGAAGAAAATGTGTAGAACCTTATACTAAGCTTTGCTTTGAATCATCTTTTTTGAAAATCTGTTTTCTGGAAAGATCTAGATTTTGGTACAAGAATGAAAGTGATGCTGAGTAACAACGAAGAGAAATTGGATGAGGAAGGAGTTAAATCTGGACCTCCAAGCTTTGTTTGCTTTACCATCATGGATTTGCAGGGTGCTCTTCAGCAACTCTTCATTTCTCTGTGTGCAGGCTTGGCCAGTATAGTAAGAGTCTGGGAATTGCAATGTGATTAGCAGAAGGTTTTGTTTATAAGTGCACAGGGGAAGGCAGAGGAAAAGCAAAATGCACCGAATGGTTAGCAACAGTAGTTTTCTGTGTGTCTCACCATATGGCAGTATCTGGCCATTGGGAAGTTATTTTGCAGCCAAAACAGTAAACAATTTGAAGAACTGTGTTCTGCATGCATACAGGAAAAGTAAGAGAGGTTCATTACTATGCCCAGATTGGGAGTCAATGAGCAACATTTAGACATAAAGAAAGTTAGGAGAGAACCTCGTTCTTATTTTTAGCACATTTTCTGCAAAACATCTGAGTAGTGCCATCTGTTGTTCAGTATCAGTATAGCAACATTTGCGGTGGTTTTTTCTTTGCCACCCTTGCGACAGTGTTTGTAATAGCATAAAAACTTAGCAACCAGCTATTGTACAATCACTGTGAAAGTGAGTAATTGGTTAACGTGCAGCTTGAGACTAAAGAGCTATTGCAAAGAGAGCCTTCTAATGGCGTTTATAAACACAGCTGTAAAGTTGGATCTAAACCCCAGTATGTTACTTTCACAAAATGGTATTACCAAAATTAAAACTGTTAGCAGTTAAAATGTAAAGAATCTGTGTTAAAAGGGCAGGATTTATCTTGTACTTGTTTGTAGAAGAATGGGATCATTTATTTTCTCCAGCTGTTTGAGACAAAGTGAGTTTTTATTCCTGTATTTATTGGATTTGACCATTTTTCTTGCTAGCAAAGCACAGTGATATTACAGAGCTGAAATTGATAGGGTGATGATTAAGTCTTAACTCTTCTTGATGCTGTATCCATTCCAATTTCTCCCCATATCCCTCTTTTTGGGTGTGTTTCTTCCTTAGCAGCCTGAGATGGTGAGTTTGGTTTACAGTATTCAGAAGAGAGCAGGAGAGTGCTGAAATTAAGAACTATACCTTGGTTTTTTTCACTCACCTTTTCTGGTGATTTGGGGCCACTTTGAGTCCTCTCTGGAACATTTGCAAGTCCTTCTCCATGTTCTGGAAATCAGTAGGCAGAGTGTTATCTCAGGTTGAAAAATAAAAAAACATAAGATGCACCTTAGGTTGTATCTGAGGGGGCCTTTTTAATCACAAAAATGCACAAGTCATATTTTACAAGTCTGTATTTCCTTCCTTTTTCGTTTGCTTTTACTATATCAGGTAGCACCGTATGTTAATGTAGATGTTTGCTGGGATGCCTAACAAAGCTGAAGAAAATTGTGGAAACCGTATGTTACAGATGTATGCTTATGGTACTATGTAACTGCTACTGAGAATGTTGCTCACAGATGCAATAATTGCTGATAATTGTGAAATCATTAGGTATCTAGTGAGCATAGAATTTTTAAAACCTGCAGAGTTGCCTGTGTAGTCAGCAAGGAGAAATCTGTTAAGATGGGAAGAGAAGAAACACTTGCCTCCTTAATGGACCACCCTAGGTTCCAATTACCTGGACCTGAGCTGCGATAACACAGAGCCCTGGCGGAGACCTGGTTCCACCTTTTATAGTGTAGGTTCCTCTGCTGCTGCTGTGAAAGTAGCAGTTTGGTGCCCCTACTCACGTGTCGCAAGCTGTGAAGAACCAGGCCATCTCTGCATGAAAGCCTCAAGCCTTGGAAGGCAGTTGTTGGCTGGTGAGCTGCCTCTGGCATTCCCATTTAGCACACACTCTCCGTCAGCTTTTTGCTCAGGGATGGCTGTTTGGCCAGCATATGGGGGTTCTCCGAAACAGCTGTGTCTTACAGAACAGATCGGACTATTGTTTAATCCTGTGCAAAAGAACAAAACAATACAAACAACAGAGATGGCTACAGTCTTTGCTACAGTAAACAAGTATAATTTACCAAGTGATCTCCAGGGAGAGTCAGTTCTGGATGAACGGAAAACAAATATATCAAAGTTTGTTTTATATCATATTGTAGGGCTTATAGAATGTGTCAAAGGGAATTTCAACAGTCTGAGAAGCCTAACAGGAAAAAAATATCACTCAGCTGCGACAAAACTTGCAAAGACAGTGTGAGTGTCATTGCTTTAGGCCCATGACTGACCTCTCACATTCTGCTTCTAGACCAGATGTACGGTACGAATGGATGGTACCACATACGAGAAGAGGATACCTACTGCCTTTTGGGAATGACCCTACAGCCAGTATTACAAATGGGTGAGCTCTATCCACTGCTTCATGTGTCAAATGAAATGGTACTTTCCTTTTTCTCAAGTGTTTTTCTAAAACTTTGCTTTTTGCTTTTGACCATTCAATGAGTCTTATTCTGCGTCCATGAGTTCTTGAGTCGTTGTGAGAACGAAACCCCAGATGGGTAGCACACAGGGGCTGAGTTGGACACACTGAAATAGAGGCTCTAAACTGTAAACACACAGTCTTCTGATCCATTTCCCTGACAGTTTAACCAAAGCAGTGAGTATGGTAGTACAGCAAACAAAAGGTGTTTAAACAGTGAATAAACATGGTATATTTGAATAGGTGGCAGAGAGCCATAAGCATTCTGCTGCAGAGCATGGTGTGATCAAGCTCTGCCTAACAGATAAGATGTTCCAAATAAAATCTTGGAGAGCAGTCAGATAGAGTGAAGCAATGGTAATCAGGCAATAATTCTCATGTCTGACTTAAAAAGCTTGTTGTCTTCAGTGAGAGTAGCAGCAGTTAATGAAGAACTAGAATCTGGCTAAGCAATATAAGACTTTCATCTTTGCTGCCTTGTCTTTTGTCAGGTTATAGAAAAAGTGATAAAAATATGTTCTGTATTTTTATATATTTTTATACATGTAAAACATTTTAAAAGATAAATATATATTTAATATATTTTATATTCTGAATTTATGTAGATTACATATATGCACACAGAGGAGTACAAAATGTGCCTTTTAAGCTGTGTGGTCAGTGTCAAAGAAGTTGTTTTGTTTTTTTTCCTTCAAAGGTGTTCATTCTGAATTGAAAGAAACTCAGCCTTTTCAGAAATAATTTGGTCTGCATCACCCTTTATACCTTATTGCAGAAGTTTTATTATGAACTCGTCAACTACCAATATAAATTCTCTAACAATATTTACTTATCCTTACAATTTTTGAGGAACTCAGTAGAGATTTTTGTGTCCCTTTTTGTGTCCCTTTTTGTGTCCCTTTTTGTGTCC